GTTCGAGTTCGAGTTCGGATCGACACACAATTATCGAGCCGGGGGGGTTGGACCGGTTCGAGTTCGAGTTCGAGTTCGGATCGACACACAATTATCGAGCCGGGGGGGGTGGACCGGTTCGAGTTCGAGTTCGGGTTCGGATCGGCGACTAAGAGACTTATAAGGGGGGTGGACCAGTTCGAGTTCGAGTTCGGATCCACAACAACAGCAACGAGAACCAACAGCAACGACAACAACCACAACCGCAATCGCCACGACCCACAACACAGAAGAAGAACAGGAACCGACCAAGCTAGCAACAAAGCAATAAAGTATCCGCGCTGCGCAGTCTCATCTTTGCAGCCAACACTTGTTTTATTAGGATCTGGTGTGCTGCTGGGGGGGGGCGCTGCGCCCCCCCCAACCCCCCCCGCGCCACGAAATCTGCACTTCCTCTCCAAAACCCGCGCCTGCCACGAAATCAACATTTTAGTGTGAACTCCCTGCCGCAAAAAAAAACCTGCTAACCAACCAACCAACAGCCACCTGCCAGCCGCGCCAGCAGCAACCAACCATCTGACCACAACGTAGCATCCCTTTTGTGGGCCATCCGAGGGTAAAATTTAGAATAGGAAGAAGCCTATTGCAACGTGGCATGCCTTTTGTGGGCCACAGATACAGTTTAGAGTAGGAAAAAGCCATTGCAACGTAGCATTCCTTTCGTGGGTAAAATTTAGAAAAGGAAGAAGCCATTGCAACGTAGCGTGCCTTTTGTGGGCCACCCGAGGGTAAAATTTAGAGCAGGAAGGAGCCATTACAACGAAGCATTTCTTTTTGTGAGCCACCCGATGGTAAATTTTAGAGTAGGAAGGAGCCATTACAACGATTTACAACGTAGCATTCCTTTGATGGGCCATTCGAAAGTAAAATTTAGAAAAGGAAGAAGCCATTGCAACGTAGCATGCCTTTTGTGGGCCACCCGAGGGTAAAATTTACAGCCGGAAGGAGCCATTATATTACACTGTAGCATTCCTGTTATGGGCCGTTTGAAGGTGAAATTTAGAATAGGAAGGAGCCATTACAACGCAGCATTAGTTCGAATTCGACTTCGAATCGACGATAATTTTTTCACTCCGGGGGGGGGAACTAGTTCGAGTTTGAGTTCGAATTCCAATCGACGACAATTTTGACGCCCGGAGGGGGGGAAACGCAGTTCGAGTTCGAGATCGAATTTCGAATCGACGACAATTTTGACACCGGGGGGGGGGACCAGTTCGAGTTCGAGTTCGAATTCGAATTCGAATCGATGACAGCGATTTTGGAGTTCGACTCTTTCTATTCGTCCACTGGGTTGACTTCTAACAGTTCCAGTTCGAGTTCGAGATCGAGTTCGAGATCGAGTTCGAGTTCGAGTTCGGTTCCTTCCATATATATCCTTTCAAGGTTAAGTTCATCAATCTGTATAACTGTTTCAGTTCGAGTTCGAGTTCGAGTTCGAGCGGGGCACACTATGCTCACACTGAAGTGGCCCAAAGCGAAAGGAGTCTCACCATGTCTCACCTGCCTTGGGATCTTTGACGGAGCTTCAGCAGCCAGTGCAAGCACTCAGCCGTAGAGAGTAGGCCCTCCAAGTCAAGCTTCTCAGTTGCGGAACGCCAGAAACACGAGCGCACGGAAGATTCCGGGCCAAGCTTCATGGCTGGCAACGTTCTGAGTTGGAGTTTTGGATCATCCACCACTGCTTTTGCATGTTTCCAGCGGCTATCTACCAGCACCAATCCGGTGACCTCAGCCCAGTCCACTGAAGACGCGTCTGTCGCGTCCTCACTGGGGAACGCCAGCCAGGTCCCAGGCTCCCAGGTCTGATCAACGCAGTGGGGTCCCCACTCGCGCACCTGAATGTCAGGTGACAGTAGGGAGAGAGGCGTCGCCGAAGACTTTGCGGCAGCCTCCTTGGGATGTCTGAGAATCATCACCTGTAGGGTTAGGCTTAACGGCTCTGGAAGCTCCACTACGCTCCGAACACATCTGGCGCAGTACAGCCGCACCCACTTCCTGCAAGAAGGACACTCAGCTCGCTCCAGATTGGCCGGGGCGCTGAAATTGAGACGTTGGAGAAAGGACAGCGCTTGCGCAGCGCGATCGCAACCATGGCTTAGAGTCGCCATTGCAAACCTTGAGGAAAATCCATCTTGCGAAACAAGTACCAACAGAGGCAAACCCGCTCAGGGCATCTCGGGGCAAGAGGTTACCAGGGAGTGCATGAATGAAATGTAGGTCATGAACTGTCGTTTTATCATGACTGAGCCAACATGTCTGAGAATCCTGAATATCTTTTTGCATGCGTCACACACAACATGGCACATCCGGGCAGCCAAATTGACAGAGATTTGTGCGCCTCTCCCACTGTCAGCACTTGTCCTCCCTCAATGACAAACTGGGAACAGGCCTCCAAGGATCACAACTGGAGCCAGCTCTTTGGCCCAGCTGAGCCCAGCTGTCCCAAAAAAAGAGAGAGCAAAACGGATTGTTACTCGTAGTGATGCCCTTGTTACTAGTAGCCTCTTGCTACTAGTAGCGATGCCCTTGTTACTATATAGTTACCTACTAGTATCTTCTTGCTACTAGTAGTATATAATTATTATATAATTGCACGCGTTGCTGAATATCCCTATCAATTCTCTCCTCCTCGGCCTTGATAGCCTCCTCCGCTTTCTCCAAAGTGCCTTTATCCACCTGTCCATTCAACTTCCTGCTCTGTCCCCGTCCAAACTTCTAAGGAACGCACCTTCTTTTGCAAGGTCTCGATAGCAGCCTGCAGGTGCCATGTCTTCACTGCTGCACCGTGCCCGACACAAGTGGTGGGAGTTGCTGCACTTGCAACTGTGTCCAATGATTTACAGTAGCGAAATTTTGCCAATTTGGCCTCCTGTGACTCCTGTGCCCCAGTTTTCAAAGGCTCTGCACTCTTTGGAACGTGGCACTACACCAGGGCGTGCCTCGGCCACTTCAAGCAAGGAATCCAGCTCCTGAAAGCGAGCAAACGGACAATGGCCCAAATGGTGACTCTGAAAGATTGCATGAAGTCCTTCATCAAGGGCTCTGCTTTTGCCTGAAAACTTGCACGAGTCATACGAGTCACTGCCCGTAAAGAAAGCTCACAGCCGGAACGAGGCATCTACCTCCGCAAGACCAGCCACATCTGAAGCATGTGTCTGTGTGTGTGTGTTGAATGTATATCATGGTTCCCGAACTTTTGCATTTGAATGGGCGACGTACTGCTGTACTATGGCACACGTGCATCTTCAATTCGAGTGAAACGCTGAAGCAGCTCGCTGACATGCAGCCGGTCATTAACCTACGTCTTCTACCAGATCTCATGGGGGTGGCGGTGGAGGTGGAGGCGCAGGCGCACTCTCATTTTCAGAGGCCTGGAACAAGGACTTGTAGTAGTTGATTTGGGCCGCAGGGTCCGGCACAATAAGCACTTCGTGCGGCTTCACCACTGAATCACACATGGGGCATTGATCATTGGCCTGCAGTGTGGCGGTGAACACAGAATGCCTTGCTGGGAAGTTGCAGGCGGGGCAATTGGACCAGTCCTCTTTCAGCATTCTCATGCCACTGGCGATGCAAAAGGGCGAGATGTTCTTGCAGTTCAAGCAGTCAAGCTGCGACTCTGCAAACGAGAAGCCACAATACATGCATGGCATGTTGGCCTCGAGTGCGTCTCTTGACTCACTGTCAGGTGGGGGCTTTCGCACGATATTTTCAATCTTTTTCCGGTACTGCTCTGAGACATCCTTTCGGTACTCAGGCTTCATCAAAGTGCAGGCATACTGGTAAGACTCTCCAGGCATCTTGGCACGTTGGCACTCGATCACCACAGAGGTCAAAATGGGTACCACATGTGCCGGGAACTGCTGGATGTTTTTGGCCACTCGAACTAACATGATCGCTGCGCTGTGATGATCACCAGCCTTCACTAGGCGCTTCACAATCACATAGGAATGCAAAAGCATCAACCGCCTCCAGAGCTCCTGCGGCAGCGCCAGCTTTTGACTCTTCAAATCCTGGTAGGTGCGGAAGAGCAGCTGGTGAGCCTCAAAAACAGATGAGATGTTGATTTTCGTGCTCAGCCTTTGGCCATCCAAAAGCTTGAAGATAGGGATGGTTCTCAACTTGGTTCAGTTGCCCTAGGATCCCTACTGCTCCATGCCACTAAACAAGGACCTTGAGACCCCACAGCTCCGACATGTTTTCAGCCAGCAAAGCCCCAAATCTATATGGCCGCTCACTAAATGGCTCTTTACATTCTTGAGACATGGCTTCCAACGGCGTGCCTGCTTGTAATTGCCCATCTCTTGCTCCTGCTTTGCAATGATGTGGGCCGTGCCAGCAGCCTGCATGTAGTTACCCAAGGCTTTGTGCAACCGATACACATAGTTGGCATCCTTGGGAACATTGTCGGTCTCGCCCATGAGGTAGTCAATGAGAGTATGTGTCAGCGCATCATTCCTCGCTCGACCAACAACCTCAATTGCATGGTCTATCTCCTTCTCTCCCACCTTCAGGTACAACTTCAAAGCAGTCGGGTACTCCTCACAGTTGGCATAGTGCCTCGCGGCATCTGCCAACAAGTTTCGTTGCTCATAGTACTTGGCGATTCGTCGGTACTGATCTCGTGAGCCATGCTCGCCCAGGCCAGCTTCGTACGTACCCATTTCATCTGACCTTTCAGCCAACAAGAAGGCCTCCTCGTCGTTCTTGGCTAAGAGATAGAACTCCACAGCTCCAGCCACGTTGCCGTCCTTGCGACAGAATTCCGCCACGCGTTCGGCGCCACTGGCCAGCTTTGTCTCCCGAACAAGCTGAAATGCTTTTTGAGGTTGGCTGAGGTTCTCCAGGCAAATCCGCACCACACTATCCTGACGCAGGTCAGCCCTGACACAAAAACAATAGATGGTATTTAGGTACTATTTTGATCTAGTTTATGTTTATATATACTTGAGAGACACGAAAGGTAGGACAGCGGGAAGAGAAGAGAACGCGAGAGGCAGGAACAAAAATGCAATGTTCGACATGGTGATTTATCCCCTCGGAGGCGACCTTTCGTATATATTACTGTCCCCAAACATCAATCCAAAAAGGCAGACAGCAGCATCACGAAGCAGCTTGCACCTCTTTTCAGAGAGGTGGTAGTGTCTGCCTTTACAGGTTTGAGCTGTCCTCTTTCACCCATGCCAGGTCTTCACCTGGTTTGCACTGGGTGGCATTCGAAAATCAGCCGGTGAGAACCTGTAAAGCACACTGACACCGGGCGTCCAAACAAGGACCCATGGGTGTCATGTCCGAGAAAGGTTTGCCCCCTTCTGATCAGCGCGTGAAGCAGCTGGAAGGGAGCTTAAAAGGGAAAATGGCGGTCCTCAGTAATGGTAGATCTCCTTGAGGACCCAATTCATCAGGGTGAACTCCGAGAGAATGTTTTTCACATCAAGGTGAAACTCAGGATGAAACCCCGTGGGGTTTGGATGTGTGCGTTCATCGGCCCACTGGTTGAGGTCCCGCTTCCAATGGCGCGGGGCGAGTTGAGCGCCCCCTTTGTGAAGCGTTAAGACCAGTTGCATCAAAATGGCCGCAGTGGGCATCTGCCTCGTCTTGTTGTTCAGCATGCAGAAGACGTTGCCTTGGTTGTCCGTGATTACTGGAATCTTGACTGCCAGCTGGTTGCGTTCTCCCATCTTCAGGATGAAGGCGATGAGGATGAGGGAGCCCAGTAACTCAAGTGCTGGGATCATGGCGCTGGCAGTTTTGGTTTTGAAAAGCCATCGGAAGAAGGCCTCATCCAAACGGAGGTGGAACCAGAAAACGGATCGTTTGGCTGGAGTAGGATCGGAGGAGAGCCAGCCTCCGATGTAGTATTCTTTCTGGGTGGAAGCACTCGCATCGCTCGCCCCGTGCCAGGGCGACCAGGGTGCGAAGGGAGTGGATTGGGTATAGGGCTCATGGATTAAAGTAGCCGGAGCATCTTGGCAAAGGTGCGGATCAAGTGGTTAGGCTTGCCAGAGGACTTCACCGCGCCTTTCCATTGTCAGAGCGGTTGAAGCAACGGCTTGGTGAGGGGGCAGGCACTCGTTGCCCATTGCAGTCGCCCCATGCCCTTCTCAAGGTCTTTGAGGGTGAATACCTCACCCGCTGCCAGCCGGTCCAGTAGCTGCATTACCAGGGAATGTTTGTCTTTCGCCATCTGGACAATGGGTCCTGATGGGCCGATGACGAACCCAAGCCACGTGTTCGTGCGTGCGAGGGCCGTCTTCTTCCAGCTCAAGGGGGTGCCCAATGAGAGTAACACCAACAGGAGGGCGGTGGAGTGTAAGTCGGCTAGGTGACCCCGCAGTAGCCAGGCAAAGTCGTCTATAAAGACGAAGCCCCAGTCGATTTCGGGGAAAACTGAGGAGGGCTGCCATTCGCCCCCAGTAGAGTTGGGCGCTTGCCATGCCGTAGGTGCCCACTTTGTTGACCCACCATTCCGCACCAATTTGGGCCACTTGAAATCGCCAGTCCCGAGAGTGGATCTTGACACGTCTGTGTATGTGCCATTCCGTGGCCGGTTCTGGCGAGGCACCTGCCCGTTTGGAAGGACAGGTCACAGGAGGCACGTAACCAATGTAGGCAGTGGACGCAGTCCATGACGGTGGGCGCGGTGGTACATTCCTCCGTGTGTCTTTGGATGTGTGCATTGGCCCCTCCCCAGGAGCCGTCGTAGATGGTTCTCACTTTGTCTCCCTCATCGATGGCTGCCATCGGTCCCGGGCAGAGTTCTTCTGGGGTGCACCCACAGTACTCTGCCGCTTCAGTGATGGTGAAGGGTCCTTCGACCGTGCCCATGTCTTCTCGTTCTTCCCGGAAGGTTTGTTTGATCTCAGCAATGAATTGGTCTGCCGAGCTATAGTTGTCCCGGCCCACAGGGGGGGGAAGAAGGTCCTGAGTGGGATCTTCACCTTTGAGTTCGGTCTTGGTGGGCCAGATCCCCGGGCTAATCAGAGTGGGTTCAGAGACACCCAGTGGGACTCCCCCCCAAAGGGTGAGGGGGTAGTCCTGGTCGGCATCATTCGTCTGTTTGGCCAGGTCATGGATGGCCTCCAGGTTGTCCCGGGTCAATGATGTCCTTGCGCGGGCCCACCAAGATGTGGCGTACAGGGCTTCCGGAAAGGGATGCTGCTTGTCGTGTTGGCTGATGGAGTGACGAAAGTCCTTAGTGAAGGTTTGGACCTTAGTCAGGATCAGTTTGCCCTTCTCGGCCAGTGTCGAGTGGGGCCTCAGTGGTGGCGGAATGCGACCTGGAGAGGGTTCCCCCCCCATCCCGGAGGGGTCGGACTGAGTTCGTCATCCAGGAGATGGAGTCTGGCCGTGGTGGGCAGACCTTCTCGGCTGTTTCGTCTCGTTTGAAGTGGTCGAGTAAGCCTCCCGGGACGTGCCGCAGGCGGAGGTGGGGTTCTGAGGTTGTCCCCTCCTTTGTGTGTGGGTCCCTCCATCTGTCTGTGGAGGGCCCTTCTGATGCTCAGGTGCCTCCGGTGGAGGTGAGGTTTAAGTTTGCCACTCCCGGGATGTCGGAGCCTTGGTCCACTGCACCGGGCGTGTTGGATGGAGGGCTTCCTCCTGTCTGCCCCGCCGGAAAGGTCTTCTCCCGCTGCGGATTGCAGGCGGGAGTCGGATCTGGCGTCCGTGGTCCCTCTCGCCGAGGGCTGTGCCTGATTGGCTTGAGATGGAAGACTCTAACTCCCGGGACGTACCGCAGGCGGAGTGATGAGCCGGGGGGGGTATGTCCCCGCCCCTGGTCCTGGAGTTTGTCCTTTGGTGCTGCTGGGGGCCCCGGACCGGTCTTGTCCTCCAGTCTTGCTGCGGAGCAGGGCGCCAGTGGTGGCCCTGAGGGGGCGGCCCCCTTGTGGTGGTCATGGATGGCGTTCGCCAGGCCCTGCATCATGTTCCAGGGGTACCTGCTCAGGTCGGATGACATGAGGGTGTTCCTCTGCCGGTGCTCCTCCGGTTTGTGATCGCAGTACATGCCGTGGAGGTTGGTGGACAATCTCGTTGTCTTTTTGACCACCTGTCCAAGCCGACATTGGTCAAAGGTAATCAGCGTGTTGCCGAGTAGGCGATACCATGTGCGTACCGCTCGTGTGGCCCAAATGGAGCTGCATCTCCATGCGCTCGGTGCTGTGCTGTTGTCCTTTGGGTCAACTGGGTGTTCCAGGAAGTTCCATGGGGCTGGCAGTTTCCGCCGTGCCCTGCCCAGGTGGGCGAGGTGTGTGAGGACCATCTGGCGCAACAGGAGGATGCTGTCATCATCCACCAGTTGTTGGTCTGCAGTGTTTAGGCAGTCCACTCCCAGCAGTGGGGTTCTCTTCGACCGCGCACCGGTGGCGGTGCTCCTGGTTTGGGGATCCATCGGAGGATGCTCCACGTGCGGCAGATGGGGCCACCGCCCACTCCATCAAGTTGGCCCTCTAGGGCTCGGTGGCACAGGTCACTGTAGGGTTGTTCCTGGAGGAGATCATGTTCAATCTCCTTGCCGTCCCGCCTGATGTTCAGGGCAATGAGTTCTGTGGAACGGTCAGGGAAAAGTGTCCGGATGCAGGAGTCCAGCGACGTGGCATCGTCCTTCCCGGCATAGAGAAGGAGGTGGGCTGAGGCCTGGGGGGGCAAGTGCGAACAGACATTCCCCATCTGCCTGGATGGGCGAGAGGCCATCGCGGCGGAGGGTGTCCTGCACGTAGGAGGGGACTGTGAAGTAGGTTCTCGTGTAGGGGGGCTTCAGGGCATAGTGCTGGAGCTCCATGGCGCCAGGCTAGGGAACCTCCGACGACGGAGGCTCAGTCCAGCGGCCAGCAGGTGCACGTGCCAAGTGCCCCCAAACGGCTGCGGAACGAGCACAAGGTCCAAGGCCTACACCACAAACACGAAAACAAGAGGTCACATCCGTCACTACTCAAAAGTAGAAAGCAAAAAGCCGGTACCAGAGGCTTTCCCTACGACTCGGGCGACTGCGAGTGGTATACGGTCCACTCTACGGCTGTGTCTGGCACAGCGGCGTCTGCCAGTGGCAGAACGGAGGCGCCACCACCTGCCACACCTCCCTAGGGATCAAACAGCCCAGGGATGTCTAGGCGCCTCGTCGATCCACGCCCTCGACGACTAAGCAACTGGACCCGGCGTCAACCCTCGACTCGACAAATCATACATGCAAAGGTCTCAAGAATAAGGTGTCAGCAGGGCCTCAAGTGACTCCCACAGGGCCTCGGAAACCAGCAAGCACGCAGTGCAAGAAAGTCACTCGCTCCTTTTTCATACCGAAGATGTCAGGTACCGGTAAGGTGCCTGTGGTCGTGGCTGTCGGCGGCAACCCCTTTCGTCCACGAAGCATATCAGGCTGACCTTCTCCGGCCACACGCTGATGGTGTCATAGGTGGGGAGGAGGAGCTCCAACTTGCGCTTCTGCTTCCGGTGGTAGGCCTGGTTCTCCTCCTTGGCCTGCTCCAAGGTGGTTTGGGATGCGAGGGCATCCTGGGGCTACCCCTTCTCATCCTGCCACTTGCGCTTGAGGAAGGTCCGGAACTTCTCGACGTCCAGGTGCCTGAGAACCGCCGCTCCATGCGCCTCCGCATCCGGCACCGCATGGGACCCCGCCTGAAGCTCATAGACCACATCCATCTGGGGGTCTCCTTTTTCTCACGGCGTTCCGCCTGCCGAAGCTCCGAGACCAGTCGCATCGCCTTCACGTTGGTGGGGTGGAAGGTGACCGTCTCCTGGCCCGGATCGTGGTCCATCATTTGCTGGGGCTTCTTGGGGGCCTCCTTGTGGAAGACCTCATCATCCCCTCGCTTCAAAACCTCCTGACGGAGGGTCATGCGGCTCGAGTCGCTCACCAATTCGCTGAAGGAGACCTCGCTCGGGGTGGCCCCCGCCGTGGGGGGCTTCTGACCAAGGCTGCTAACTTCCACCGAGCAAAGAGACTTCTGAGTGTCCCCCAAATCGGGGGCGTCTGACTGCCAACGGAGCTGCTTGTCCGCATCAAAGGTCATGGTCCAAGTGACGCCATCCACCGTCACCGAGGCCGAGGGCAGAGCCGTTGGAACCTTCCCCTCCGTGGAACCACAGTGGAGGCACTTCTTGGCAGCTGGCAAGATCCAGCTGGTGAAGCAGCTGGCGCACATGTAGGGCAGCTTGTCCTCCACCTCCGGGAGGGTCGTCAGCTTCTCCATGGAGCGCGCCCCCTTGGGCAGGTGCTTGGCCTCCCAAATTTCCTGCGCCAAGTGCTTGGCCTTGGCAATGGCATAGACCTCAACAATGCGAGCAAAGGCCGGCGGGGTGAGCTTGCTCACGTCAAACTTGAGGCAAAGCTCAACGATCTCACCCACCTGGATGCTCCGCAGCGGCTGCGCCAGTTTCTTCGGGAGGCAGGGAAGACCAGCCATGACATTGGTCAGGAGGATGTTCCCGTCCTGGGCAAAGGAGTAGGTCACAGGATCCTGCAAACGCTGCTCCATTGGAACCTCAGTGTCCAGGCTCGTCCGCAAAGTCGAAGAAGGCACCGGCGGCAGCTGCTTGCCCAGCTGCGACAAAGCCCCTGGGGCCGGCACAGGGGAGGATGACACATCCGGTGGAGTCTCGGTATCAGGGCGTGAAGCACCTGCCGAGTCTCCAATGGTCACATTCATTCAAGGCAGCAGTTTCAGAGGGACGTGCTGACGGAATCCCAGTATCAGGGCCAGGGGCACCTGCCGGGACTCCCGCTTCGTCCCCCTGATCCAAGGGGCGTTTGCGGCTGCTTGGCACCGCCAATGTGTCCTCAGCCACCACGGAAGATGCCGTAGGGGGAGAAGCCGAGGTAGGGCTCGAAGGTCCAGCAGTGGCCTCCGCAGGGGCCTGCAAGGAGAGAGCGGTGACGCCACTCACCATCGCCTCCAAATCCCGCTCCAAGTCAGCGGGTGTCTTGTCCACAGGGATCACGTAGTCGGCCAAAATGGCCATCTCCTCCTGGTCAGCTGCAATCTGGGCAGTCTCAGCGGCTGCCACCTCCTGCTCCATGGGATCCGCTCCCAGAATCACGAAATCCTCTGCAGAGTCCAAAAGTTCGAAGTCAAACATTTCAGCCATGGCGGCGAAAGTCAGAAAAGAGCGAAAAGCGGAAGTCGCAAAAGGTTCGCAAAAGTTCGATCTTTGATGGATCAGGGCTGATCCTTGAGCCAAAATGGCAAGCCATGTTGGCTAATGAAATGTATTGTGGACACATTGTTTGCAATCCGCAAACTCCTTGCAAAACCAAATTAATATGCACTCTAAATGTTCAAACATATGCTCTCGAAATGTTCAAACAGATTCTTACGAAAACAAACTTGCCCCATGTGGACTGGTCTTTGTCTGGGGATTCACTCTCACGACCATTCGGCTTGGATCTGGGGCCCCCTTATCATAGCTGTACCGCTCATGAAGGGTCAGACACGGCGGCTGTCAATTCCCTACAGCGGTTAACCATCAATTGACAGCCGTAAGACACATAAGAAAAAACAAGAGGGAAAAATGGCTCAGAGCATCAGTGAGCATTGAATCGGAGCATCATAGGATTTGAACTATCCCGAAACCATAAGAGGCTCACGAAGACGTTCCCCAGGAGAGAAGTGACGTGCTTCACAAGACAAACTCTAGGTATGTATCCCCTCAGGGAACACCTTTCGTGATTCGAATATCATATGCACTCTTTCTCAATGTTCAAGAGGGTTTCAACTATCCTGAAATCATGAGAGGTTCACGAAAACGTTCTCCAGGAGAGAATTGAATGTAGAGAGGGGGGGGGGTCGGTATTGAAAAATCAATTCCCCGGGGCGGGGGGGGGGGGGGTGTTTTTAGAAAACAATTTGGGGGGGGGGGGCGGATTATTAGACCCGGACGCGCCAACACTTGCTTCGCAAGACAAACTCAAGGTATCCCCTAAAGGGCTATATAGTTGCATCCAAAAGCCAGAACTGTTCATAACTGCTCATAGAAACCGAAAAAGGAAAAAGAAAGCTGAGGAGCACATCCACACATTTGCAGGTGAGTCTCCAAATCCCGGGCCCTCTCATAGGCCACGAGGGCATCCTGGTAGGCTCCACGAGCCTCTTTAGCCTTGGCAAACTGCAGGTGCAACTTCGGGGTGCTGATCTTGGCCATCAACGGCGCAGCTGCCTCGAAGTTGGTGTCAAGGATGTAAAGGGAGGCCGCTTGATCATAAGAGCCTGCCGCCTGCAGGGAGAAAAATGCAAAGCAAGGGAACAGCTGAGCAGCTTAGTCTTGGATGGGTTGCACACAAAAAGTCTCTTGCAGCGCCTCCGAAACCACAGCCAAAGCTTTTCAACTGTTACACCTAGAACTGCCGGATGCTTGCCCCAGAACCCACACTCACTTCTGTGCAGCTGGCAACCTACTGCAGTCAATACACTGGTAGTCGCTAACCATATAAATGCCTTGGAATAATTACAGTTGTACAAAACTTATAAAAACTTTAAACCAAAACGCATGTAGGTACCACCTTTCAAAGCGGCCCAGCCTCATAGAGCTGGGCTGCCTCAACATACTGCTTCATCTTCGCAAGGACTTGCGCACATTCACGACACACGACTGGATCATTGAGCTCCAAGGCGATCTGCATGCCTCGTGGCAGGTCGCCCATGCGAATGGAGCAACGGGCAATGCCAGCCTTACAAAGAGCTTCATGCTCGGGCCGTGTGCCAGGCACGTGGTCACGCATGGCCATCTCATAATGGCTCAGGGCCTGTTCGTTTTGGTTACGTCCTTCGATTTGCATGGCGCTCTTCAAATAGATGTCCCCCAAGCGGTGCGGAGCCAAGGTTTGTGCAAGCTGAAGTGCCTGATCCCATTCTAGGAAGTCACAGTGCATGTCCAGTGCGGTCTCCGGAGAACAACTTTGCAAGAAGTACTCCTTGGCCTTGGCAAAGTTCCCAAAGAGCGCGGAGACATGGCCACTAAGCAGCAACTTGTCCTCCACCGTCTGAATCTTGTCCAGGTACATCACCATGCCGGCAGCCGGTGCTTGTCTGTATGCCTTTTTGGCCCAGCCAACGTCCAAGCATTCCAAACACCTTCGACCCATTGCCAGCCACAGTTCCTTGGGGTGCACCGGGAGCCAGTGCATGTTATGTGGCATCTGCTAGATCTAAAAAACAAAACACAACATCAACATACACTTTCACAAAAAAGGAAACATACTACAATTGAACTGCAGGCTCTCTTGCACCCAATGCCAAACCAATCTTGAAAGCCAGCGGAAAGCGGTTCAAGGCCAAGGCTTGCAGCATACAGCCCTTTTGTCGTTCCACTGCATCGGCCACATGCGCATTGCTGGTCATGTCATGTGACTTCAACCTTTGTGTGGACAAACCACCACTGGCTTGTTGACATGTCACCACACCATCCACCACAAGGACCGCCACCTGGCCATGCTGGAGTGGGCTTGGAGATGGCTCAATCCGGAGTTCCCACTGCAGACCTAGTTCTACATCTCCAAGGCAGCGCACCCCGCTACCACCCACTTCCACTTGACTGTAGACAAAGGTGTGCAAATTGAATTGGTCACAGGCCACAAAGATTGTAGAATCAGAGCTATCCCACAAAATGCGATCTGCTGTCACCGGAAAGTCGGCTATCTGGATGCAATCATCATTGATGGGGTTGTATAACCACGCTGTGCCCGATGTGTCAATCAACGCTACACGTGTTCCTTCGTGATTTGGGAAGCACTTCCGAATGCCATTGGAGTGTTTGTACTCATTGACCTCCTGGCCATCGATCAACGAATAGTACTGCAAACGCCCATTGGAGTGCGCATAAATCAAGAAGTTCCCCACAATCGAGGCACAAGTGATGCTCTTATCATCGTCCTTGCGGGGAAAAATGGTGGTCTTCCCATCTCCTCTCTCAATCTGGTGCAGGTACACACGGCCATCGATCAGTACACAGGCGTGGGTGCCGTTGAGGCTCACACTCTCAACACTTCCAATGTACTCCTGCTCATTCACACAAGAAGCGCTGGCTTGGTCAGCACATGAGTAGAACCAAATGCGGTTGTTCATTCCTGTGGCCAAATGGGAGGGCCCTAATGCTACAAAGGCAGGCTCAAGGTCAGTGTTGATACAAACCTTGTTGTCACTCTCGTTGGTACCTTCGATGATGGTCATCTCACGCAAGGAGGTCAAGTAGGCCAATCGGGTATTGCAGGTGGCCGACAGCACTTGTAGCTTGGCCAGGTAGCAATACACACAGCCTGCCTCTGTGGCAAAGGATAAAAGCTCTCCATCCTCAGACCAATGCATCTGTGTGACCTTGGCTTCAGGGCGGATTTGGATCTTCTCATTCCGGATCTCGGACCAATCCTTCATGCTAATGATTTTGATCCCATCGTCTCCGGCTGAGGCAATCTTCCCCGCGGCCTTGCTACAACACAAACAATCCAAGCTATTTCGGTGATACTTGACACTGGAAAGCTCCTCCGACATCTCTCTCATCTGCGAGCTAATGATGACAATGTAGCCTTGAGAAAAGCCCACCACCAGGTATCCATCACCAAACCACGCATAGGACTTGATCGTGCCATACTTGGGTTGGAAGGCCAGTTCCGTGGGTTTCTGTGGCTCTCGGAGGTTGCATAGAAGCAACGTCACATCTCCTAGCACAATACTCACCACCTTTTCCCGGGGGTGCTCCTTGGGGTTGTCACCCTTGATGTCTGCGAACTGCATCTGGCTGGGATCATTCTTCAATCTCAGCGGCTCCGCATCCGTGCCCTCCAAGGCATCCCCGTCCTCATTGCTGAGGCACACCGTCCGGTCTTCCGAACCCGTTGCGAAGAGGTTCTCCGCATGCCATGCACCCGAGGAAATTCTCTTCGAGTGCTTCCCCATGATGGTCTGCTTCTTCATGGTCCTTCATGGGTCAAGGGTTGGATCGAAATCAAACACAGCAAACTCGGGACCAACCGCGAAAACACTTCAGCCAAACCTTGAATCCCGTTTTTCACCCTTCGGCCGCCGGCCTCTTGTTGTAAATGATGAGGTTCCCTCGCGCAGTGCCGATCACAAGCTGTGGCCCTGTCTTGGACCAGGACAGCCAGGTGGGGTCCTTTGAGCTCATCTCTAGCATGTCCAGCTTGTTTTCAGCATGGCGCCATAGCATCACTGTCTCCTCCTTCTGCTGCAGGATGGCCAAAATCTCTCCATCCTTGTCCCATTCTAACTGCACCACTTTGGCCGTCGACTTCAGCGAGACCTCCTCTACTTGCATCCCCCGCCGGTCAAAGAGGAAGAGATTCCTAGAGCCTTCCCCAATGGAAGCCACATAGTTGCCACTCGGCTGCCATGCAAAGAGGACATTGCTATGGCCATGGTACTGTGGCCCAAGGCTGAAGAGCTTCTTCATCTCTAACCCGGGCTCTGATGCAGGATTTGATTCTACAATGGCCAGGGCCGGTATTTTTGCCTCATGTATATAAAGTCAAGCACCTCAAACTGCACAAATCACTGCAAAGAAACGACTCTCACAAATCGTGTTATGGCAAAACCTGTCTGCCAATTGCATGGCCTAGCTGGCCTAGCTGGTTGAATGGTCGCTCATCCCCACCTGTGCATCTTGAAGCTGAGCCACACGCTGCTTGGCCTTTCAAACGTCATGGGCACATGAGATTCACCCATGAGTTCCACTTGTCAATGACGTGAACAAGCTGCCATCGACTCAAAAAAAAACAGCGGCCCGATGAAAAAAGGCCTGGATTCTTGGATGTGGTTGTGTGCCCTATGTTCATAGATGATACCCCGTGGGTGAAGGAACGTCTCCCACCTGCTCTAAAGCCTTCTCGCACTCCTGTGCATCACGCAGTCATGCCTCCCCTAACTAACACATGCAACAAAGTCCAAACTTAGGTGATTAACCATTGAAGCCATTAGAAACGATTCATCTTCGCTTCGTTGCGGTCTCCTCCTTCATCTTCGCCTGTTCAGGGCCGCAGGCATCTAGCTCCTGCCGACTGCAAGTTGCGGTGCCCATAAGGTGCCCAAGTGGTGCAAAACAGCGAGTATGATGTGTAACAAGTTTCCAATGTCACACCCATAGCACTTGCATACGCTGCTGTATGGCAGTCCGTCAACATGGTGGTCCAAAGGTTTCAAGGGGCTCGTCATCCACCACAAATTAAGAGCGTGATTTGAGTCTGATCCTGTCGAACATGCTACCATGGTTCCTTGGCCATGACCTCTCTCAGCTCTGTCTCCAACTGCTCGAGATTGTCGACCCTCACATGCTTGAGCTTGCTCATCGCGTGGCGGATTTGCTTTAAGGCCCGGTTCACCTGTGGCATGGAAAGTGTCGGCAGCTCGAGATAAGAAGAACATAGAAGAACGAAAATGCGAACGGCTACTTGCTTGCAAGATGCCAGCGGTTCCTATGGGCCAGTTCTGATGTTCATAAACAAAAAACTGTTCTGGTTCGGGGGTGATTCTGGCATGTGAAGCAGCTTTCACCCAATATAGCTCAGTCAATTCTTGGGTGCTATCCACGACCCATCTTCTACTCATTCTATCCATCTTCTATCAACAACCCTTCGGAGTTGGACATCTCCCCCCGTTCCCACACCCCTGAAGGTCCTACAGGCCGAGTTAAGGGGATGTTTGGGTCTGCATGCGGATGTCCCGCTCCATGAATCCGGAAGGTGCTCAAGTTGGACCAACGGCTCTCCTCCAGGTTCGGTCTCGTTGTCCGCGCCTCCGCATGGCGCTTGGCATCCGCCTACAAAGGTTCGAAAGACTGCAAGACATGGGATGTGAAGGCTTGATAAGGCTTGCGCGATTCATGCAACACTCAAATTTACTATTCGATTGCCTCTGCCTTCAACCGCCGCTCATTCTCCGAGGCCTTCCTGGATCACATGTGGAGCATCTGTTTCGGTGGTGTTGATATGTTGGAGATAATTTGACAAAGGTGAAACGCTCATGCTGAAAAGAACGCTCCAATAAAACACGTTAAAACTACTCGGCACAAGATTCCCATGTTCCCTGCACCCTGGCAACACAGGATTGCTTTGGTGTAAAGCTCCACTCCTGTCCACTGAAATGTGAAATTGCGGATCCACTGGACCGTCATAGGGCACTTTCCAGCCACTCAATGGCGCCGTGGTCAGCCGGCCTTGGTTCTCAGGAGGTTGGCTTCAACTGAACTACTTGTGCCATTTGCCACTTCCAGTCCTTCTGGCTCCATCTCCTTCTTCTCCCAAGTAAGGCCCCTGCTGGAATTGAAAGCCCAAACCTGCTCAGCACCCACTTCAGGACCAAACCTCGGTTGCAATCTTGAGATTCCAGCACCCCTTGAAGCCATTCCATTCATCCAGAGCATACCCAGCCCCAGAAGAGAAAGGGACATCAATACGTTTCAAGCCCTCAAAGCCATGCTAGTCTGCTAGTCAGTCGAACCATCAGGTCACACCAACCTTTGGACAAAGCTGAAAGAGGAAACTCCAAAGACACCGATTGAAACCCCAAAAAGGCGAAAGGAGTTGAGATTCCTGCCACCATCCACAGAAGGTGGGGTTCTGCACATCATTCCAAAAGTAGATCAGCACGTCCACTCCGTCTTTGGTCTGACAGGAACGCTTCGGCGGTGACCGTCCCGTGGGAGCTGACCAGACCGGTGAAACCCGACCTGCTCCGTCTTCTTGTACACAGGCTTGCCTGAACATGCGCTTGCGCAGCACTCGTGGGCTCTCACCCGTTACTTTATCAGATTTGGAGGAGATCTCATTTGGAATTGCCATGTCAAACAAACAAACAAACAAACAAAGAAAAAAAAGGATGCTACTAGGGGCTCCTGGCATCGCTACTAGGAACAAGGGCCTTACTACTAGGAACAAGAAGCTAGTAGAATGATTCATCTTGAAACTATATACAGTAGGTGGCTGGCAGATCAAGAGGTGGGATAGGTGGCAAGCACGAAGGATCGAAGACTGCCGAGCCGCCGTGATTCTCCCCATTGCGGATGAATGACCCGTTGACAATGGCGCCCACAACAGGGTGTGCACATCCCTGCACCTGGCACAAGCATGCTGTGTCATCTGTGTCCAAGGCTCAAGAACAACCACAGGCACAAAGAAAGGATGCGTTGGAATGGACAGGGCCCAACATATCATCTCACACACACACACGCACAAATAGGTGTGTATATATATATATAACTATATATATTCTATATATACACACACACTCACGCTCTCTCTCTCTCTCTCTCTCGCAGGATGATCGGCATCCAAAGTTGAGGATGGCGCTGTGATGTGAGTGTCTTGTCCAACTTCCACCTGTGGAGGCGGAAGCATTGGGGCAGCTGACCTCAAGAAGAATGAGACAGTAAATGTACATGTTTTTTTCAAAGTCTTTGGCTGGCTGAGATTGAAACGAGACTTGGCCGTTTGGGCTCTGAACAGAGACCTCCAAGCTGGGATCCACCTGTCAATGTGACAAGAGAAACCAGCTTCACAGGTCAAGTAGCATGGTAGCCCACCTGCCCTTCGAACGGGACCTTCCATCCACTCCTGAGGGCTTGCAGCAGCGTGCAATCAAGCCAGCCAGTTGGGGCCGTCAGAAAGTCTGGCTCTCGGACGCTTCCCCACCCTCATCCTTTTGGCCAAAACCTTCAGCACGCTTGGCCTTGTGCCAGGTACATCTCATCGCTGGGATGACACAAATTGTCCAGCTCCTCCAGATGGATTTCCTGCTCGAGGAAGACTACCAAGAGATTTCCAACACTTGCAGAGACCTACACAATTGCGACGGCAGACTGTGAGCAGCCGCAGTTGTAGCTGCTGCAGCCCTCAACTACAGCCCCCACTCGCCCTGCTGGGAGTTCTGCCACGGCCATGGCTTCTGAGAGGCCACGGACATGGGAACTCCAAAAGGACGACTTCTCAGAGATGTGGTGCTCGTAGCAGCCGGAGCCTGGGTTCGGCTTCGGCTTCCAGGTTCAAGGGATAGAGAGCCAAGCTGTATCAAATGAACATTGGATGACACATTACAACCTAAAGGACCTTGGGCACCCAGCTGTAAACGAAGGAGACGTTGGAAAGCCTCACCAGATGGCTCAGCTCCTCGCGAGTCTTTCCAGCAAAGTCCTGGTGTGCGGCCATGGCCCGATGGCGGTCGTATAAATGTAAGGATCCTAAGAATACCGCTAGCTACACTTTCCAGAATATGTTTATGCTATGGGCACTATGCATGTGTAAGAATAAGAATTAGCTGGGCAACACGGGCCTCCGCATACTTCCTCTCTGCACCTGTGTAGCGTGGATGCTCTTCAAGGCCATCATAGCCATGCACGAGGTGCGAGAGCTGCCACGAATCGTATTGTGCAGCCACCATCAAGTATGGTGTCCTCGGGGAAAGCCGGAAAGGATCGACAAAGAAACAACAAGCTTCCCGCTTGCAATGTGTCCTCACCAGTGGCATTCGATGCTGCCCAAAGAGGCATTTCCAAAGCTCACCAGAGAACCTGGGGAAAACACCAAACTGGATGAAGCTGGAGGTCAACGATGGCGTAAAGGAGAAAGCTCCAACAGATTCACTGGTCAAAGTCTGAAATATAGATTCATCTTCCGCGGGACCAAATGGAAATGGGCAACAACTCAAGCGAAACCACACCCAACTCTCAAAGCGCTAGAGGTCGACACACAAGTGAAATGAGTGGACCAAGTCGCTTTGCCCGGCACGATTCTGACACTATAGAAGATGCATTGAAATTGGCCAAGACGTTCTCATGCTGCACTTGGAAGCCCTCGAATTTTGAGCTGAAGCTAGGCACGTCCTCGGGTCATGGAAAATGAAAAGTCCGTTTGCATGAAGAGGGTTTGTGGAGACTGCACATGCCCGCCCGTAGCTTTGTGCTGGCACAGTGTCCAAGTAGTATGGTGAGTCCAAGAAGCCGCGCACGTCAGTCTGTGGGAATCTGTCCCGCACCTCATCCAAAAAGACCATAGCACCCCGCGCTCCTGCAGAGCCGCCACCGAAGATCAGCCTCAGGGGGAACTGACACAGCCAAGCTATCCAGTTCCAACTAGTAACAAGAAGCTACTAGGGGCTCCTGGCATCGCTACTAGGAGCAAGGACGCTACTAGGGCTCCTGGCCTTACTACTAGGAGCAAGAAGCTACTAGGAGCAAAGGGCATATGGACAAAGATTATCCCTTGCCTCCTTGCCGCTTGCAGCCGTGGACCAAGCTTCTTCAGCACAGCTCGCACCACCCTCGCCCCGCGGAATTGCCACGGCCCAAAGGCACCATCTCCTAAGCGAATCCCATCAGTCAAACGTGCCGAAAGCTCTACGGCATTGAAACATCTGCACCTACCTAGGCCACATTCCTTTCGCTGTAACCTCGACGCGTCATTCTCCTCCAGGCCGAGTATCCCATGAAGGCATCGGAGGTGCAGTAGGGCACATAAACCAGGTTATGACCGTGCAGCGGTGACCGGTCACTTCGGTCGTAAATACCTGTCCTTGGCCAAATGAATGAAGTGAAGCAAGGCTATCAGACCTCATGAGAGCCCGCGTAAAGAAGTCCACTGCAACGCTTTTGTTCTCACGCGAGCAGTCATGCAAGCCTGCTCTGTCAGGCTCTCCTACAAATGCCCGCAGGGTCCAGACAACTGGCATAAATAGGTCTGACAGCATGAATTTGTTTGGCTGATACTCATTTGCATGATGTTTGGCTGTTGTCTGGGCAAGAACTGTTTGAGGCCAGTGTTTCCTTCCTCTTGTCAGCTTGCATCAACATCACATGTTGCGAACCATGTCCATGATGCTTCCCATGGCATAGCGAAAAACCAGCTGCAGGACCTCCTCCGGAAAGCTTCGGCTTGAGCTCCGAAAAAGCTTCAGGACAGTGTGCCGTAGCACATTGCAAGGCTGGGCCGAAAGATTGATCTTCCATATACCCCCCTCGTGCAGTGGCCTTTGTGGATGCGAGGTCTCACCAAAGCAGCTGCCACCAAAGACCAAGAGGGTCTCACCTGCTTAAATTTGACTTACTAATTAAGGAAGGGGATGGGGTGAGCAGTCGGCAGTGTCAAAAATGGATACCATTGGATACTGACAGGGTCGCCTGAAAAGGACTACCAATTGCATCAGTCGCATTTGAGAATGCGAGTTCTGTAAAAGCAATCCGCCCTAACTTCATCAAAAGGAAAGCACTCTCCACCCCTGCGGCCTTCCCCTACCAAAGCGGCCCCAAAGTTCCCTGACCAAACCGGTGCATTCTGCGTGCAAACCCGGCGCCACCGGGGCTTCCGCAGGTTCAGCGCGTACAAACCCATCTTCCACGCACCGGAAGCATCGGGCTTTTGACGCGCCAGCACCAGAATTCCACTCGCAATACCAAAGCTACCGCTGTTGGCCGTGAGGAAGGACCGGTGAGGTAGGACCTCGAGGGGGGAGTGAATTTTGATGGCTTGGTTTAAGAACATTGGGTTGGTCCTGGTAAACCATGGTGCTGGGCTGAAAAACCAGACATGTGGGAAGTTTCAGATTGCCGATGACCTGGAAGGGCTGCTGCCGCGCACGAGTGCCCACGAAGAGAGGCGGCCCCTCTATCCGCACTTCCCTCCACACCGGCGCGGGACACCTCAAATGCAATGTCCACACATCACGGAAGCTTCGCACACCGTTGGTCCCACCATAGACGATCATGACGCCATCGGTGATCACCGCAGAATGCTGCGCTCGTGGGCCAGGTCCCTTGCCTTTCGTTGGTGTCAGTTTCCAGTAGGGGAGCAGCAGATCGTGCATGTAAAGGTGATCGAAAAAACTATATGGACCTCCAACGCAACATTGGCCACCAAAGAGGTAGACCCTGTCGTGACAGTCATCGTAGGCCAAGGAATGATAGCCCCCAGGCATGGGCACATGCTGCAGGCCACTGTTGGGGATAAAGAACTTCCCCTTGTTGGGGCAGAAATGCCAGGCATCCTGCAGATTATCTTTGCTATCAAAGCCACCACACATCAAGAGCACTTCTTTCTTTGCTCGTCCCCTCCTGGGTGGGAATCGCGCTGGCAAGAGACAGTTTGAGTGTCCCCAGCGCCATGAGGGTGCATAGCTGCCAGCTGAAGGTGTGTGGTCCTCCCACGTCATCTTTCGAAGGTCCATGCCAAGCAAGGAGATCTTTGTGGAGGTTGGTGTCCCTCTGTCCCCACCAAGGCACCATAGCCTGTGACCGGCTGCCACCAGGCAATGTCCATTGATGGAGCCAAGTTGGCACTCTGAGTCTGACTCTACTGGAGTCCAATCAAAGGCCCTGAAGTGGATGTAGTCTTTCGAATCCGACACACTTTGGTGAGCGGCCTTGCCTTTGGCTTTGGCCTTGCCCTTTGGCACCTGCTTGCCCATCGCTCATGTTGAGCCAAGAAAGAGCCGAGCTGCGGCATTGAGAATCTCCGATGTTGCAGGTATTCATTCACATGTCATGGCGTGGCAATGAAAACAAGAACATCATCAACCATTGGACCAAGTACCAGGGACCAGGGAGTGAAGCTGCGCAAATCAAGAACTCAAATAATCTGAACCAACCAGCCCTGACCGTCCGCCATTCTGCCAAGGCTCTTGCCACATGTTTCAGGATAGTCCTGCAAATATGCAAAACTGCATAAAATATTCTACGGGAAGATATGTGCGATCAATTCTAGTTGATGGCCCCTGATGGCCTAGCCCATCTTGATTATTAATTGAGGGGTATGCAGCATCTCTAGAACCTCTTGATTTTTTTTCCACGGACCTTTCCCTAGCTTGATCCAAGGCACAGCCGGGGAATGCTGGGGAAAATCCCAATTAATTTTCTTTATCCAACATCTTCTCCAAGCATGAATTTCTACGACATTCTCGGAGGACAATTTCATTAATTGCGCAAAATTAATTGAGTAGGGCCCCCCCCGATTAATTCCACCTAGCGGAGGGTACATCTTAAAATCGTGCTCTCATCCAGCCAAGCTCGTCAATGACGCTTCTGAAACCTGTAACCTTGATCATTCCTGCTTGCATACTCATGCACGATCTGAATTTCACCCAGCTCCCGCTGATGGCCTTGTTGGACATGAAGCAAGGCATGCTTTGATTGGAGCTGTTGCATGGGTGGTTTGGGAAGAGATGCCCGTCAAAGCGCCCCTGGCAGCTGGCAGCATCATAGCACCAGCCACCACCAGCTAAATACACCAGCCAATCAGGGCTGGACGTGTTCTCCTGCAAGGCCGGCAGGACAAGAGTGGTCGGTGCTGACATGCTACACTTTAGCCAGCACGCCCACCCAAATGGCACATACCCCCAAAGAATAGTGCACCTGGAGGTAGAACGATGCGGAGCTCCCATCATTGCACACAGCCAGCGCGTCCACCTCCAAATAATTCTAGCTTCTAACCCATTCCATGACAGAAACCCAGCACAAACCTTCAAACATCTAATAATCTCCCTCTCTCTCTCCCTCTCTCTCTCTCTCTCTCTAAGGGCGAGCGCCTCCGCAAGGCTTTCTCTCCGCAACCAACTGGTTGCGCCAGCATCATTGCAGCTCCAGCCATGAGCAGTGGAGATGAGCAGGGCCAACCTGCAACACCATACAAGCTCCCCCCGAATCTCTTCAGATTGAAATGGTCTCGCCTCAGCATCACCTCAATGGATGGACCAAGCCCCGCTGGACTTCGACCGTCTGCAGCAACGGGAGCACCTAGGAGTCAGAAGCCAGCTTACAGTACTTGAGGTGGCGTATGAGGATGAAAGCATGTTATGTCTTCCAGTGTGCCACCATGCGACGTTCCTCACCAACTCGACAGCCCCAGCGGCCAGTGCCAATGCAAGACCAGCCAAGGTATACGAGAGGAAAGACAGGCCCATGCAACGTCACAGAAAGTGTGACTCGATTGACTCTTTCAGTTGGAGATCTGGCTGTTAGTTGTCGCAGCTGGCAACATAAGCTTGGAAAAGGTTGGACTATGCATGACTATGACTATGCCTATGTCAGTGTTTAATCACCAGTAGTGCAGCCCTGAGCCACAAAGCTGACCCCAATTGGCGTCGTGTCAGGTCAGACTGGTGACTCTTCGGCTCCGGCCTTAGGACATACCTACTTGCGGCCTCCAACCTAGCGATGGTCCACTTGCGCTGCTCCTGGGCGGCACCGGGGCGTCGCCCGGCCGGAAGGACCAAACCATGTCGCCACCCACCGAGGCGCCGAACCACCTGGGAGCGCATGGCGCCCGGCTCGGGTCTGACGGTCTGAAGGTGTCAAAACATCAAAGCTGCAAGCTATGTCAAGCTATGCCAAGCTTCAAAGATGTTCAGTTATAAGTTATACACTTATTCTATCTTATTTGGGGTTCTCCGAATGATCCTTGTGCTCTTGGACAACAAAATCACACATTGTCACATAGTTCGAGATGCTGCAAGCTTTTATTCGTGGTTGGCTGTTTGATGCTGGTTGTTTTGGGCTGTTTGCACTGCAAGGAAGGACTGCGCAAACATTCTTCTCATCTCCTACGTTTCTTCTTCTATTTTGTGAGCATTTCCCCAGCTGGGGCCCCCAGCCAGCCACACATACTGGGGCCATCCCGGTGGTCCCAAAAGTAGATCTGCACTTCCTACAGAGCTCAGCGACATGAGCCACGCGAGCACATACACGAGCACGAGCCACAGCCTGTGCACCAGGCTTGTCGAGCTTCCGGTATGCTGGTCCTAGGTTGGCCATGGGTTCCGTAGCTGTGGAAAAAGAGGCTGCCAGCGAAACACTGTGAGTCTAGGTGTCGCCTCTTGCTTGCCAATCAAAGCAGAATGCTCTCCGTGGTCTTTAACCCCAAAATGATGGCTTGTGCTTTTACAATGAGGGAAGATCTCTCTCTCCCAGTACTGCATCTTGGTCACTACCGTGGTTGCTACCAAACTTCACGTATTCGCCGCCTCAGATAGACCGAGCACTTATGGACGACATTTGCTCGAATTGCACCCTTCTTCACAGGTCTTGACCTACTTGGGATGGTGGTGTCAGACTGATCTCGCAAACCACCAAATGTTTCGCACCGTCCCTGCTAAACGCCTTCTTTGCAGGAGAAGGCACGGATGATAGCGCCAACGGTCTCGTGCCTGCAACCAGCGACGACCTTGGCCATGGACACAACCCTCTCTGCAAGACACAACCCTCTCTACGGCCAAGATGCAATCTCTGTTTGGCCCTTCCCTTTGCCTTTGCTGAAGCCCTGCATGCAAAGCGTGCTCAGACTCTTCACTCTTCTTCTGCCCTTCTCAACCCTACGCCCGGTACACAAAATCATAGTGCATCGCAGGCGATGATCCAAACAAAGACGGCCATGCCGAAGGCTGTAGGGTTGCCATGTTGGATTTGGGCAAAACACACGGCCTTGTCAAAGCCTTTCTCGAAGCCTTTCTGGCCCTTCATGCCTCCTTTCTCACCTCCCTTGCCCTGATAAAACAGCGAGGCCGAAGTAAGACGATCAACCAGTTGCAACCCCACAGCTGGCCAAGCAAAAGCAAGAACAGCGCTGGAAGGAGAATCCCCGAATTCGTCTGCAAAACATCTCAGCACACCTTCGTGTCCCCCTTCATGCCCTTCATCCCTTTCCCACCATGCCTCAGACCCAAGGGCTGAGTCAAAAGACACGCAATACATCTTGGAAAGAAAAAGAGCCTGGCTTGGTTTGTCTCTTCACGCCAAGCAACATTCCAAAACCTTGCGGCCATTCGCCTTGGCATGCATCCCTTTGCTTCAATCGTCCCATGTACCATAGGCAAAGCCCCACGTGGTCACTTGTCAGTTGGTCCGGATGCCCCGTGGGCACACTTGGAACCCGACCTTTCTTGCCCTTTCCAGGGCCCTTCATCATCTTGCTGAAAGCTGTTGCTGGTGAAACACCTTTTCAAAGTCTGCTGCATGTGCTGGCCTGACTTGCACTTTTTTGTACTGATCTATATCAAATTTTCGAGTATTTACTTCAATCTTGCATCCAGTTTCACCAGTTGAGTCAGTGGTGTTGTCCAAAGACATCGTCAAGTTACGTTGATCAGTAAGAACCTGGCTGTCAATAATATCCCTATTGATGCCTTTTTGTTACGGTTGCCGAGCCGAGCGAGCCGACCGTAGGGAGCTCGCAATTGTCTTCGCAAGTGTTTAACCTAGACTCAACACAGTGACAAGGTGCCTGTACAGAGTTAATAATGAGGGGCCTCCAGACTGCAATTGAAGCTCCATTGCCTGCCTTTCTTGGGCCTGCACCTGAACATACTCACTCTTTGCTGCCTGTTTCAGCCTGCACGCGAACAGGGCAACTAAGCAGCTGGTAGAGATGGAGGGTCCAGCTCTGAGTCCAGGGCAGCTGGTAGAGATCAGAGCTTCCGCCAAAGTCCTGTGGAAGAAGCACCCAATCGCCAGGCCCCACTCACAACCAGTGGTTCGAGAGTGCCCCGGTCCTCGGGATTCTGACTACAAACACCCTATTGGCCCTATTGCTTGCTAAAGACTGTCTCAGAGTGACCAATACGACGTCCGTCCGCAAGCAGCTTCACAGCAGCCGCTTGCACATCACGTCCTCCGCCTGGAAGAGAGGCACCGAGGCACCGAGAACAAAACAAACTTCACAAACCGCGCCAAGTCAGGAACTGCCCAGTCAGAGGTATGCTCGGTCCTACAAAGCATGCAGCTTTGGTGGTTCTAGCTCTTTTTTTCCCTAGCCAGTGTGTTCTCGTGCACGAGTCTGTACAAACCCATCTTGGCTAGAATTCGAGCAAGTAACTCTGTACAGGGTCCGGCAGGTCCATCCCTGCCAAGGCCGCGGAGCGTAAGAAGCATTGTAGCCACAGGCCCATGCAATCTGACTCCACCTTCCGCAACAGCTTGCTGCTAGGGGCAAAGCGTCCCAACTTCGCGCCTCGCGCCAAAAGCATTTTGATGCAGCACTTATGCTCATCCTTGAGCACAAAGCCAGGGTAACGACGATCGAAGATTTCATGGCCAAGCACCTGGACCTGCTGGCTGCACAGGAGCCACCGCACTTGGCTAGTGCTTCCTGACAGCGCAGCTTGTCGCACCTGCACGAAACTTGGAGCGGAAGGAGTCGCCGGCAGAAGTTCTGATTCCAGAACTTGGGTCATCCAGCCCGGACCTGCAGCTGCTATGGACACCTCTGCCACTAAGTCGTCAGTCACATCATGTGCTTCATGCACTTCAAGGGGCTCTGCACCACTGACATCTCTAGCAGCATCCAAAGCACGGTGAATTGGCTTCGAGAAGGGCAGCCATCGTGGTACCGGCTTGGTACAGTGCTTGTCAAAAAACCAGCCACCACTATGGCAGCTTACCTGGCGTATTTTCCCAGTCCGAAGGTTCCGCTGCTGCATCTTCAGCACGTTTACTTCATAGCTCTCACCATTTGGAGCTGTAAACCACACGCGAGGGCCTTCTTGCAGAGTCTCACCAACAGGCGCTCTTGCAGCTGGATAGCGGTAGGGTTTTCTCCTCTCCATGGCCATTTCCCACGATTGGGAAAATAATGAAGTAACAATTATTGCTATTATATATATATATATGTATATAAGTTAGTCCAACTTACGGGCACAAAGGCTGCAATCGATCAATACTGTCGCCAGTCTATATATATATATATATACAGGCTGATACTTTCAGAAACGCTAGGCCGCTAGGCCTTCAATAACTCCCAAGACCAACGCCAGCGGTTACTGCATTATGACAGCCAGCACCTAGTCGAAGGGAAGCTTCAACCATGCACGTCGCCCCACTCTAAATCACGAAGCACACGCCTTCAAATGCCTTTCTTGCCTCAACTCCAAACCAAGATGCTCAACATGCAGCAATCCATGTTCAAAAAATGTTAGCTACTTGACGGTTGTCACAGCTGCCGGTGAGCATGAAGAGAAGATCTGTACATTGCGACCCTGAGTGTCCAGCCAACCGTGCGATCTGGAGCTGATCGGGCACACTCATGTGAGGCACGTCCTCCCTGAGCAGGAGGTTTTACATGTTTGGATGCAAATATTGCTTTGATGTTTCGAGTGGTCATCTTCTTGTAATGCATGGTCCGAGCTCCCCCACGTCAAGGCCAATGCTGGGGCCAACGCCCTAAGCAGTACTCCAGCTGACGGAGGCCTTGGCTCAGTCTCCACACTGTCGTTGAATGCAGTACCACCACTCAAGCACTTGAGCAAAGGTTCGTGTTTGCTTCCATATTTGTTGAAAAGAAGGCGTTGCGCAAACGGCTTGTGCCGACATCAACCCGCGCATGTCCCCGTCCCACCTGTTTTCAAGCCCTGCCGTTTCAAACAAGTGAGCCAAGGTTGGTGCAGCTGAATTGCATCTGCTTCCTGGCATTACATGGCGTGTCATACAGCCAGTGCCTCTAGAAGGTAGGTGAACCGCTGGCATCTAACGTACAAAAGTATGCCTCTAAGATTCAACAGCTCAAAAGAAAAAGCAGAAGGCCTGTGATTAAGAACTGATCTCCCTGGAAAATAAAGGTCAACCTTTTCCACTTGTTCTTAAGTGAAGAAACCAAAGCCCAAAAAACGGGCTATATAAAGGTTAGTTATCCACTGACTTGGTAGGAGAACCTTGCAGTGTGCCGCGCGGTTGGTTAGAGCTCCACTAAATTGCATTATCCATGCTTGGAGCATCTTGCCTCTGATTCAGAGCTTCCCATGCTTGTGAATGACAAGATCGAGGACACGTCATCATGCGCAGCATCCTCTTGCCGCCTGACAGGATTTTGTGGCGAATGCCTAACATGGCAACGACCTGATCAATGAGTGCCCACCAGAATGGTTCAAGGAGGAGCCAATCCAACCCAAAGTCCTAAGTACTCTTAGGATCTGAGACCCCAAACACAGTAAAAAGGATCTGAGCATCTGAAGAATGTGTTGAGACTTGCGGTTCCGGGCTGGCCTTCCTGGCTGCGCAGGGATAGGGAGGTCTGCAACCACACCTGCTTAGAGCCACGGCTGATTTCACTGGGCGACCCTACATGGAGAATCACGTGGTTCAAACGGCAATGGTGCTCCACAAAAACATATATGGCCGAACCTTTGGTGGAACCACGCGGTCTGAGCAGTCTTTGCGCAGCTGATTTCAGCTGGCATGGTACACCTACAGCTGCTTCAGTGTGCACTGTGCGCATCAATTCTTCTCCTTGTGGCAGACAAAATGTGGTTCAGATTCCAAACAGAACTGATGCACACATCAAATCCAAAAAACTGGCCGGTGGCCCAATGGATTGGTCCTTCTCCTTCTTCTCCTTCTTTTCTTTCTTCTCTTTCTTTGACTTCAGAAGGCCAAGGTGGCGCTTCTCCATAGCGCGCTTGATCTTCATGGACATATTGAAAGCGCCTTTCTCTTTCAGGCGGTTGTAGCTCTTCAGCAACTTCCTGGGAGCTCCCAGCATCGCAGGAATTGGTGTCTTCCTTTGATTATGGAGAACGACTACCAGACTACCATAAACTGCATCAAAATTACGACTCCTTACACATCAACATTGCATCTGAGTTTCTTGTGGTCTTCAAGCTGCTTCACCCCGTGCCTACCAAGTGGCAACCACATGATGAAAAACTGGAGTGTGACTGGGATATCGAGTGAGCAGCGTTCAGGCGATCAACCCATGCAGCCGAACAATATACCCACACTTGCTTGAGACAAACGCCATACCAGGCCAAGGTGCTCAACGCAGAATCTGATTGCAATGGCGCTGTCCGGTTTCTCCTCCAGCAGGGACTCGTAAAATGCCCGAGTCGGGTCCGCTACCGGTGGCGTCAAGTGCTTCCTAGGCTCAGGCTGGATAGAGGAAGGACAAGGCAATACTAATAAACAATGTTGCAGCAGTGAAGGTCTGTGGAACTATCATTGTATATGTGCAAGGCACTATACACCGTATAGTGTATACACACGTATAGTATATATATAATACGTGCTTTCATGGAATGTGTGTGCTTTCCATGAAAAAGTTGATTTGATTGACAAGGGTCTGTCCCTCTTTGAAGAGCTTGCGCAAATCGAGCCTCTTCTTCTTGCTAGGGCTGGCCTGACACTTAGGGAGTCATGCTAGTCTGCTAGTCCTCAACTACCACAAGTCTTGATCGTCCTTTCACATATCTTGGCACCTCCATCTTCTGCACCGACTCCCAGTCGTGCAAAATTCCCCAGACCTGGAGCCCAACCTTTTGAACCAGAGGGGCGCGGCGAAGTTGTGGAGTTGCTAAGGTTGTTTCTCTTCAATGCTATTAGGTTGGAGGCCACTGCTATTACTAGCGATGGCCTCCAACCTACTAGCGATGGCCTCCAACCGAATAGCGATGGCCTCAACCGAATAGCGATGGCCTCCAACCTAATAGC